AATTTTTAGAGAAAAATATCTTTCTAATATATCCAGCCCAGGGCTTTTATATTCCAAGTATAACTGCTCTATTCTCTGATGAAGGTTGTCAATACGATTTATTCTAAGATTAAATAACATTGTCAGGTAAGAAAAGATAACACATTTTAGAATCTCTCTAGTCAATGAAAACAATAGGAGGCAGCTGTAACTCAAAACTCTGCAGAGATCACATGTAACAAACTTTACATAAAGCATTCCCTACCAGCTGTGCAGCTAAACAGAAGTGTCTTACCTTGAACGAGTAATGAGCCCAAGGCGAGAGCTTCTGCCGTGGCCCAGTCTAACTGGGTTCCATCCATCACCTTCTCCAGTCTGGACTGTAAAAGTGAAGGAGAGGAAAAAAGAAATTTTTAAGAGTCCATATCTTTTTCTTTCACACAGTTCAAAAAATGTAATGCAACAATATTAAGCAATAAAAGCAATGTTAAATAAAACATTAAGTGAAGGAGGATACGAGAGTCTGATAGCAACCACATGACGTTTTAAAAGGGAAACAAACAGATGCTCAGCTCAGTGGTTAACCCTGTGGATGAATGAGAGGACATGGAACTGTATTTGTACTATTTCTTCAGGTGATGGTGAATACGTAGTTTGTTTTAAAAGTCTCTAAATCTATACTAAAAATTCAAAAATGAAGTTAGTGTTTTAAAAATAATTCAGACAGCAAAGTTTCTTTATGCAAGTTTAAGAAAGGTGAAAACCTTTAACTCCTTGTTCTTTTGCTTTTAGCAGTGAAAGTACTGCGTTCTAGGAAACTGGAGTCCCAGGCAAACCAGGACAGTTTGCCACATCTATATTTAATGTGAGACAATATGTAAAATCTCAACAGGTTTGAGGGTCTAAATGGTTGACTTCAGGGGTACGTATGTTGATTTATGGAGGGAGGGAGGGAAGGAGGGAGAGAGCGAGTAGACAAATTCTGCATTAATTGACTATCAGTACCAAAACAGCACTAGAATAGGTTCCTAGAACTTAAAGATACATAGTAAATATCTGTCAAGTGAATGAGCCAACCAAATGACCAGAGCCACATTCCTTCCTTTGCTGCACGGGACGAACGAACAACAAGCAGAGATTTCGGTGCTGCCCACCTGTACGTACATCTTCAGGAGGTGGCCGTGCATCTGGAGTTCCTCTGGCACCGCCACAGACTTCCCACCAATAAACCTCAGGAGGTCTAGGGGCACACCTGTGTTCCAAGTGGAAATGTGAGCTTCTGGCTGGACCAGGCCCTGCCAGTGGGCCTGCAGGTGAGTGGCAGGGGGGCTGTAATGGGCCATGTTAGTCAAATGGTTATTTAACTTGGCGTAGTAGGAGGTTTTGATTTCTGACACTTCCTCCTGGGTCATGAGTCCATGGGCAATAAGGTGTTCTGCATACGTGTCTGGAATGCTTTTTCGGGCTCTGTCGAAGAAAGAGGGGGAAAAAAATCAATCTGATTTGTAAAAATCGAAGAGACAGACACAGTCATCGTCAAAGAAACTACAGAGCGGCATCACTGTAAAAAGGCACAGGAAATGGTTCAGAGCTGCACGGAGCAGGTGGTTGCACATCACTGTGGATGTACTAACTGCCGCTGAATTGTTCACTTTAAAATGGTCTACTTTATGTTAAGCGACTTTCACTCCAATAAATTATTTTTTTTCAAAAAGGCAGTAATGAGTAGAAACCTCATCTAGACAAGCAAGAGAAAACAAATTTATCTTTATAAACCTTTGTCTACAATCAGGGAGAAATAATTAGTAGTCGTCTTTCTATGAAACGATAAATTCTGGATACCCTTTATCTCAAAAAGGATTAAACCCAGTGGACAATATCTGTTTCAGGTGGGTTTAAGCACCTTGGTAACAGTAATAATAACGCCACTCCAAATTTGTTTCAAACTTTAAACTATAAAGTCCGTTCAGATATATTATCATATTGAATCCTAACAAAAATGAGAGGGAGGCGGGATACTTTTTAATGGGGCCTTGAGGTCCATTAAGTAATTCAGCTGCTCAGCTCAGAGCTAAACAGAGCCCAGATTTATTTTTCCAAAAGCAGTCTGCTACCTATGACCAGGGAGGCCTAGAAAATACCACCGAGTTTATTCCTCTGTTTTAATTAAGGTTTATGAGGAAATAAAGTAGACGAGAGGGATCTATTTTACTTTCTAGTATCTAAAAAGGAAATTCCAAAGTGTCAAATACCTCTCTGTCACACTAACCTTCTGACTCAGCGCTGTCCAACGGAAATATAATACAAGCCAATGTGGAATTTGAAACTTCCTAGCGGTCACATTTGAAAGGGTAAAAAGAAACAGGTAGAATTAATTTTAATCACCCATTTATTTAACTCAATATATCCAAAATATTGTCACTTTAATATCTAATCAATATAAAAATTATTGAGATAGTCTACATCTTTTTTTCATACTAAGTCTTTAAAATGTGGTGTGTAGATTACGCTCACAGCATGTCTCCATCAAGATTCGCCGTATTTCAAGCACTGGGTAGCCACATATGGCTAGCGGCTTCCATAGTGGACAGCACAGTTCTGGACATTCATTAAAATCCATCATGTAATCTCTTGCTAAGGTACAAAGTAGGGCCCTATTTATAGTTTTCACAAGTGGATCGAGGAGGTCCTGTTTCTGATCCTGTCACTGCTGTACTATGTAACTTCAGGCAAGGCTCTGCCTACGTCTCCTATTCCGTCTTCCCATCTGCCAACTGAGGTTGTTACGCTGCCCCCTTTGTCTATTCATCGAGGAAACATGTAGAGTTTGAAGACTATGGGGAGATTTCTTGATATCCACAGGGTGACCGTCCTAGTCTCCCTAGGGCTGTCCCAGTTTTAGCACTGAAAATTTCATGTCCCGGGCAAACCAGGAAAGTTGGTCACCCTACCTGAAAATGTCTAGTAAAAATGACAATGTGAGCACTATGGGAAAGAGAGCGTATTAAATGAAGGTTTATAATTCTACCTGATGATTTTGTACATCACTGGGTTGGTGAAGAAGGGCTCATCCAGCTCATTGTGGCCCCACTGCCTGTAGCATAACAAATCAATAATCACATCCTTCCGGAACTGGCGCTGGTATTCAAAAGCCAGTCGTGTGGCACGGACCACTTCCTCTGGGCTGTCTCCATTGACGTGGATGATGGCACAGCCCACAAGCTTCCCTGAGGCAAAGGAGACTGAGATGAAGTGGGCCAGTTCACCCAGACAACACTGGCCCAGCACCAAGTCCTGTTGCCTGCGTGGGGAGGCAGCCTACATCCTCAGAGGTAGTTTGGGCTAGTTGTTAAGAATCCACACTTTGGAGTCCAGTTGACAAGAATGAGTTCAAGTCCCACCCTGTGATTTATGGTGTGACCTTGGTAAAGTTATGACTCTTAGTCTCCCTACTTATAACACTGTAATAATAGCTCCTACCTCTTAGCCATGTTACAAAGATTAAACTAATTAATGCATATAAAGTACTTAAAAGTGCATAGAACATAACTAATATTTATTGTTATTGTCATTATTACTATTGTCTTTCCTCCTGAGATAAAAAGGTCATAAAAGGATGCATCCTAGAAAAATGGATTTTCTCCAAAGAGAAGTTCAAGAATGAATTTTCGGTATCTCTACCTAACTTAATCACAAAAAAAATTCACTTAGATGCTTCACAAGGCGTCCAGGCCAGGCTCTGGGTGCAGAAACAGAATAGTTACTACCATCTAAGAGTGCTTATAACTCTGTGAAATAGGGACTAGGTGATAAAAGCCCTGCATTTCTCCTAATACTGCCAATTTCCACTGGTTAAAACAAGTCAACTTTCTTTTCCACGACTGATTTCTAACCAGACTACTTGGCCAAATTTAGCAGCTGAACATACCTTTCTTTTATATATATATAAATTTGACATGCCACGGTTTGTGAATTTAAGTTATACAGCATGTTACTTTGATACATTTACATATCGTGACATGAATGCCATTGAAGCAATATTTATCATGATATATCGCAACGGCACAGTACTATTGACTATATTCATTGCATTGTGTGTTAGAGCTCGAGGGCTTACCTACTGCTTGTTACAAGTTTGCATCTTAAACACAATCTTATCCTTCCACCTCCCATCCCCTGGTAACCACCATTTTAATGTATTTTTTTATAGCTTTAACTTTTCTTTTTAGATTCCACAAGTAAGTGATATCATACAGCACTTGTCTTTTTCTGTCTGATTTATCTCACTTAGCTTAATGTGCTCAAGGTCTAGCCGTGTTATAGCAAATAGCAAGATTTCCTCCTTTCTCATGTAGGTGTACATGTACCACATCCTTTTCATCCATTCATCCACCGATGGGCATTTGGGTTGTTTTCATAAGATGGTTATTATGAGTAATGCTATGATACACATGGGTGTGTATATATCTCATCAAAATCTTTTTTTCGTTTCCTTTGGGTACCCAGGGTGAAGTTTCTGGATCCTATTGGTAGATCTGTGTTTAATTTTTTAAGGAAGCTCCATACTATTTTACGTAGTAGTGGCTGGACCAATTTAAAACCCCATCAACGGTATGTACGTATCCCTTTTCCCCACATGCTCACTAGCACCTGTTGTAGTTTGTCTTTTTGATGACGGCCATTCCAAGAGGTGTGAGGTGCTACTCACTGTAGTTTTGATATGCATTTCTCTGATGATTACTAATGTCGAGTACTTTTTCATGCGCCTATTGGCCATCTGTATGTCTTCTTTGGAAAAATGTTTATTTACTTCCTCTGCTCATTTTTTAATTGCATTGTTTTTGTTAGGTTGTATTAGTTCTTCATATATTTTGGATATTAACCCCTTATCAGAATGAACATGTCCTTTTTGACTCAGATTTGGGTACTCCAAGTTAGAGCATCTTACTCTATCTAGTAAGACATGCTCTGAGTCTGAACAATGACTCTAGTGTGGTGCTAGCTGTGTTGCTCTCTGGTTTCCACCAGATCATTCAACTGGATACTTAAGCAATTTGAAATTATGCCCTCTAAGTTCCACTCTAGTCTATTTTCTGTGGCTTTAAAGATTACACTCAAAGTTTAAAAGGAATAACTTAACAACACTATTGGTGACTATGAACCGTATCTGACCCTAAATTTAAAATGAGATAACCACTGAGGCTCACTGTTCTGAGTGAACCAGGAGGCTTCCGAGAATTCCTTGTCTGACCCGGCAACATCGACACCTCCCTGTGCAACTTACCGATATCACTGCAGTACAAGGAAGACCTTCCTCTCTCTGCCGGTGTGGTGTAACCCAGCTGGTTATTGACAATCAAATGGACGCTCCCACCAATTCTGAAATGTGGGAGATTAGAGAGCGTAAATGTTTCGGGAACAATCCCTTGACCGCAGAAAGAAGCATCACCGTGAACCTAAATTGTAAGGGAGAAAAAAAGAAAAGGAAGATAAGGGATGAAGAAATTTAGGTTTTCAGACTGGAATAAATTGTTTTCAAATGTTAAAAGAAATAAAACCACCACCCTCTCACTGTTCCCCTGCCCTCCTAAAAATTTGCTGGTTATAGGATTTTCCTGAATGGTTATGCTGGTCTTACACAGCTTTCAAAGATACTAAATCAGTCCTTTTCCCCCTGCAGCCACCACCAGCTGACCTACTCCTTCCACCCCACATCATCACCTATACTCATCACTTCTAGTGCACTCATCAACAGTCCAGTGCATATAGCAGCATCATAGAAGGAAGGGCTACTGGAGGTGCAGAAGGAAATCAGCTTTAGTAAAGCTTTCATGAAAATACCCTGCAAGATTCAAGGAAGAGTGCACAGCTTTGAACTCTTCCTCTTCCCCAAAAACCTTGCCCCCAAAAAAGAGACTGTGTGTAGCTCACATCAGCTAATCCCCCTGGGTGTTTGGCCTCTGTCGTGAACGTAAAGGAGAGTGATGTGACAGCAAAGACAGGAGGCATGAGGCGGAAGTATATCATACATTAGGGAAAGGATACTTTGAGGAAAAAACAAAATGCTGTTATGAGAGAATGTCTAAAATGTGCTATTCTTCCAGAACATTTCAAGTCTGCTAGATCATATCATCATAAAATATGGTGGACAGAAGTTGGTAGAGAAAGAAGAAAATGTTTTTTAGAGAAGTTGAAAGCAAATAATGAGGGAATTAAAAGCTCTTAGAAGATCTTAGAAGAAAATATGAGCTCTACAGACATCATACTAAAAGATAATTATCATAAACAGCCAAGATGCTGAACTAAAGAATAAACTGATCTGATATGCCTCAACTTAAGGCAATCTTTGTGGCTCTAATAATAACAGAATTAAAAGACCTAAAGATGAATGGAGAAAGACTATTTAGAAGTAGACTTTTTAATGACATTGATAATGTCCTGTAGAGTCATTTCTATACAAGTAGAATATTTTGGCTAAGAAAGGAAACACTGCTTTGCCTAAGTGAAATTTCTAGTCCACACCTTCCCATTGCTAAGGCCTATAGGGATGAATGACATTTTGGAGCATCTATACCTAGTAATAACATACCCCTACATTATCTCCACAGCACTACACATTATTAATCCACTCAATGAACAGGTGGAAGAGCCAGGTAAGTAAGTCACTACTCTCCTTTTTACAGGT